CGTGTAGAGCGTAGAACCTGAGGGGGACCTCGTGCGCAAACTCTGACGTGCGGCTGTGATTTATAAAGGAAAGATGCGCAGAAACGTGCGTACGCACGGTTTTATAAATCTGAATTTTTTTGGCGTACGCCATTTCCGCCTTTTGGCCGTACGTTCACTTTTAGTATGGTTTCCACGCAATCCTTTATAAATGAGACCCCTGACCTGTCCAAAGCTTGTCTAGCCAGCTGCTTCAACTTGGTCTGAAGTGTTTGGTCAGATGTCTCATTTGACTGTTGGAAAAACAAAAAGGGGAAACAAACGTGAGGAAAAGCCAATTAAAAGTTTACCAAAGCGGATAAAAAAACAAAAAGAGATAATTCAAGAATGACCGTTTGAATGCACAGCTCCACGGCCTGGGTGTACAGCTCAATCGCTTCATCATCATTCCCCTTTTCATCTTCCTCAAAGGCCTGAGTAACCAGGAAGTGGGCACGCTCTAGATCCACCTGTTGCCGGGACTTCAGTGGGTCACATTTCTGTGACTGGACTGGGGTCAAAAGAAAAATGAAGCAAGGGTTAAACCAGTTTATTAACTACACTTGTTGGACTGAGGTTCAGAGAATAAAGCAGTCATGAGAAAACAGCAGATAACTGCACAAACAGCAGCTTTGGCACGCCAGGTAAACTTACCTGCATTGTGAAGGGCCTGAACCCGGTCCAAGTATTCATTCACTTTGTCCTGTAGTCCGTCCAGTTTGGATCCTGCCATGCCAGCATAAATAAGAGCCTGGGCTGCCTCCTGTGAAACATAAATCAGCCAAATATTAATGAAATAAATTCGGGTGACAAGTGGTATCACCCATATAATTAATGTAACTGTAACCTGGTAAATTATAATTTCAAGGATCATAAATTCATAGAAACATGTATCCATTAAGTAAAAGTCATACTCAACTTTACTGTGTGAAAGAAGCTAAATGCTAACTTGTAGCAACTGCTAACTTGTTTAAATTGTACGCGACCTACCTTATAATAAAACACAGCCTCGTTATATTTGGCATTTTGGTCATAAGTTACAGCTGTTTTGGCAAATTTCACAGCATCGAGTTCCAGCGCTGTACAGTCCATGCTGAGCAAAACTTGTTTCTGTTAGCCAGCTAACAGCTAACACTTTACTTATCGTAAAATCACCAAATTAGCAAACCGTCTGCCTTCATTCAGCACCAAGACTTTTTTTTTCATCAGCTCAGACAGTTCATGGCGGAGGTAAATCTGAGCAGCGTCTTCAGTCTAATAGCTGAAGATGTTGGCCCGGCTAAAAAGTGTTTTCTCCTTTCATGACCACAACATTAGCCAACATCAAAACACCAAGTACTTCCGGGAAACACTGTTCCGCGCAGTCGCAGTGAACGGCTCGTGCTCATATTTGCCGCTGCGTTCAAGTACAGTCAGACAAAATAGCATCGTGGGTTTTCAACAGTAGCTAATTTGATTGTCATTCATTTCGGACAAAATAGTGATTTAAAAAATAATTATTTATTCTTTTTTACTGCTGTAATTAGTCAATGTTTGAAACATGTGAATATCAGGTATTTTTAAAATAAGCTTCACACCGTCTAAAGGCTGAAGAGAACATGGAGAAAGTGAATGATTTATAGTTTTATTAAACAAACAAGCAAACGTAAAAAAAATAGTTCGGGTCTGGTATATTTTAACCGAAAGTTTTTACAGACGCATTTATTTATTTATTTATTTATTTATTTATTTATTTATTTATT